AACAACACAACACCACAACACCACAACACCACACCACCACACCCCCACACCACCACAACAACACAACAACACAACACCACGACACCACAACAACACACCAACACAACAACACAACAACACACCAACACACCAACACACCAACACACCAACACACCAACACACCAACACAACAACACAACAACACAACAACACAACAACACAACAACACAACAACACAACAACACAACAACACAACAACACAACAACACAACAACACAACAACACAACAACACAACAACACAACAACACAACAACACAACAACACAACAACACAACAACACACCAACACAACAACACAACAACACAACAACACAACAACACAACAACACAACAACACAACAACACAACAACACAACAACACAACAACACAACAACACAACAACACAACAACACAACAACACAACAACACCACAACACAACAACACAACAACACAACAACACAACAACACACACACACCAACACCACCCCACCACCCCACCACCACCACCACCACCACCAGCACCACCAGCACCACCAGCACCAACAGCACCACCAGCAGCAGCACCACCACCACCACCAGCACCACCACCACCACCACCATCACCACCACCACCACAACCACGCACCCACGCACGCACGCACGCACGCGCACCACCACCCACTAGTCCGCGGATAGAGAAAATCAGCGCCATGGTAAGGGATGGGAGGGAGGGGTAGGACGTCAGATATGACGCGCGCGCACCTAGCTTGTCCTCCTCCCCTCCTCCTCCTCCTCCGCCTCCTCCCTCCTCCTCCTTCTCGTCCCTCCTCCTCTTCTCCTCCTCTCCTCCTCCTCCTCCTCGTCCTCCTCTCCTCCTCTTCCTCCTCCTCCTCCTCCTCCTCCCTCTCCTCCTCCTCCTCCTCCTCCTCCTCCTCCTCCTCCTCCTCCTCCTCCTCCTCCTCCTTCTGGGGCCCTCCTGAGACTTTTTTCGCCGTCCAGGAGGCCTCTTGGACCATCTTCGGCCGCCTGGGGCTCTGGGTAGCCCGTAAAGAGCTAGAACCTGGAACGTGCTGAAAGTCCACGTGGATTTCCATGGTTTCTGCCTCTCCAGGCCCTCTTTGGGCTTCTCCTGTGGCCCCTTGCGGCATCTCGGTGGCCTCCTAGGCCGTCCTGAGGCCATTTCGGGTGGTCTTGAAGCCTCACCAGCGTGCTGGAGCCCTTGCTGGATTGTCTCAGAACGCATATCTTGGGCCTCGCCGAGGCCTCGGGTGGTAGTTCTTGGAGGCTACGATGGCGCCCAGGAGGTGCGTTGGCGAGCTCGCACCCCCTCTGACGAGATTTCGGACCCCTAGGGAGGGAGAAAGGGAGGGGGACAGCCAATCATCTCACACACCTTTTCACACCCTCGAAGAAGAAAAAACGCCATAAACATAAACTTTGCGCTCCGTGCGGAATTCTTTCTCGGATCCGCGCTGGGTCCCCCCCACGGCGGTGCCTCTGGCGCCGCCCCTGGCGCGCTCTGCGCGCCAGGGAGGGGGATCCGGCGCGGATCCAAGGAAATCCGCGCGGACCTCCAAAAGTTTATGTTTACGTGATTTCTTGTAACTCTTGAGCCGGCCGTAGTGCTATGAATCAGGGGGCCTTTTGGCACGCGAGGTGCTCAGCCCAGCACCCGCCGTTCGCTGCTATGCCCTGATTGCTCATGTGCCAGTTGGACACACGGCGTATTCTTCTTCTTCTTCTGTAGCTCTACGGAAAGGGAGGGGGACAGCAAATCATCTCACGCACCTTTTCACACGAGACAGGCGGGGGTCGGCGGACTCGTCCAGAGCTGAGCGTCCGAGGGATCCCCACCGGGGAGCGGCTGCGAGTCTTTGCAAAGTCGGCCGTGCATGCCTCTTCCGAGCGATGTGTTCGCTTGTCTAGTTTGTGTGTTCGTTGTGCATCTTGCATATTTGTTATTTGCGTATTTCTGTCGTTCATGCATGGTGTGTGAATTATTGCGTGTGTGTTCCCCCAGACAGTGCTTGCACTTGAGAGCCCTTACTTGTGTCACCAAATCAGATTGGATGGGGCCGCAGAGGTTTCGCCTGCTGCCCAGTTGGTGGCCGGTCGTGGGAGTCGTGGGCGTCTACCTTGAGATCCGACGTAGCGGAAAAATCGGCATCGCAGACAATCACGCCCAGAGCCCTGGACACCATCTGTCTGCGTCATGTTTCGAGCCAGATCGATCTGCGAGGGTCCCGGGGCCCGAAAAGAAGCGAAAACGCCCAGTTCGAAAAAATTAGGACGCCAGGATCTCAGGGTAGTGGGGTTAAGTCGGGCCTGTCTCTGTACAGGAGGAGTGCTGAAACATAGTCATAGCATCGTCTGCGGGCAGTGCGCGTAAGTCGGGCCCGTCGTTCTGCAGGAGGAGTTTATCGAAAATAATAAAAAATGGTCTGGGGACGGTTTTCTGTTTTCGATTATTTGTTGATTTTTTTTTCCCCCTACCTAGGCTCTGCCTAGAAGGGTTCTTACTCGGTATGCTTAAAGGGCCGGGCAGTGCAACTCGCCCCGGGCGGTTCCCCCAGTATCCGCCCCGCGGTTCCCCCAGTGACGCTCCCCTAGCTTAGCGTTGCTTATCTCATCTTAGCTTAGCTTATTTCATCTTAGCTTAGCTTCATCTTAGCTTAACTTAGCTTCATGTAGATGTTGCTTTCCTAGATCCTCCAACTCCTAGGTAGGGTCGCACTGGGATCATTTTGTTGTTATGTTTCGCCCAGGCTCCGCCTGTAGGGGGACACGCCCGACCTAATAGTGGGCGCCCCATGCGCTCGGTGGGTCTGCCGGAGCTTCGCCCGGCAACCGGTTGCGGGGCTCCAGGGACGGGGGCCAGTGCAAGCGTCACGTCGGGCGTGTCCCTCTACAGGAAGAAAATTCAAAACTAGTCCAAGAATAATCAGGGGACTTTTTGTTGTTGTTGTTGTTGCTGCTGTTTTTGCTGTTGTT